TAATAAAATTTGGAAACATGACTACTTTTTCCTGTCCATTGTAAGTAGTAGTTTGTAAAAGGTTTAAAGCAGTTATCAAAACTTGTTACTGAGGGGCTTATTGTGCAGAAAGATGTTCCCTTTCCTAGGAAAATGTATATGAATTTCTGACTAACTCTGCATAGCTAACAATTTATGGTTTTCTAGATTGGCCTGTACTTTTTCTTTCAACACCCTTTGGATTTTAAGCAGAGTTGTTGTCAGGTTTAACTTGGTTATTTGGATGCATTGACAACTTTTTTGAATTCTTAAACCTCTTGTTCCATTACAGTGGATGATTTAATTAATTGTTAGGTTAAAAATATTAGAAAAAGTTTAAACAGATGAATTAAATGTAAGAGAAGTTTACAGTTTGTGGCTATAAGGTAGATTAATATACAACCCAAATTTCAAAATAATTGGATAATATTTTGCTTCAGTTAATGTCTTAGCATTCTTTTATGCTATATTAATATTCCTGTAATGTTTAAATTTGATGTTGTTTCTGAGCAGAAATAAAATCACCTATAGTTGCTTGCTGGTCAAGTTGGGATCCTGTTACCACTTCTCACTTCCCTTGCTCCTGTAAGGCTGGTTGTCGTTGTTCTCTTCTTTGCCCTCGTTGCTCTCCAGTTTCTCCTGTCCTTCACCAGTCTGTTGATCTGTTCTTGAAACAGCAACCTTACCTATACTTCAGCCCTGGTTTAAGGTCAAGGGAATAAGACAGCGTTCATCTTTTTCATTGCTGAGTCATCTCTTCTCTCCATGGAAAACTCATCTGACATGCAGTGCTCCATTCTCCTGTAAAATTTGAATTGTTCTCCTCTAAAAACATATGCACTTTCTGAAATATGGGTGGGTGGGGTTTGGGTTGTTTTTTTTGGAGGTGGTTTTGGGTTTGGTTGTTTCCCCCCTCCGCCATGTTCCACAGCTAAAGGTCTTGTTTGTACTCTGGGTAGTCTTTTCAACTTCATCCTGGTTTTCCTCAGGTTTCCCAAAAGAGATCCCCAACCTGTTGGGTTTTTTGGTGTATTGTTTCCCTTTTCTGACTCACGTTAATATTTGAACGTCTTGCCTTAATCATTCATCATTTTTCACAGATCTTTGCCTGTATTTTAATTTCTTTTCTCTCTAACTTCTATTTACACTTCTTGTTCCACTATGAATGTCTGTTGGATCGTGCATCTTTCTAAGACTAGATTGTTTACAGTAGTCTGCTGTTCTTGTGTTAGACCATCAGTTTGCGTATCATTTTTCAGTGCAGTTTTAATTGTAGTTACAGCATGGGATATTTGTTACCGATGTTCATTTAAACAAGAGAAATAAAGTGATTCTGTATATTGAAGAGGCTCTAAAGTTGTTTCAGTGATTTGGAAGTGGGAGCATACGGTGAATGGTTTAAAAATAAAAATAAAAAAATACTTGAGTTAAGATACAGCTTGCATATGAAATTCACAAGTGAATATGCAAAATTTTTCAGCAATGTTGAGCTTGCTATAGTATTTCATCTCAATATACAGAAAATTTGGGACATAAGCCAAGTGTGTATTGTGTGTATTTAACACCTTTACTTTCCATGCATTTTTCAGGTATCTCGTGTATGTGTGTGTGTAGGAAATCCTTTCAGAAACTGCCTCACCTTCATAAATTGCTATGTGACACAAAAGGGCTGAACACTGTATTCCTGCCTCATTTATTTTGAAAACTTTGCTACTGAAACCAAACTTAATCAATGAGCTCTGTGTTGTCTCCGATAAGTTATGTACTGGCTTTATTGATTGGGAAGGATTTTAGAAAACCCATGTGGGGTTTATAATGTCAGCAGTGTTTTGATTATGAAAAGAGTTGGAACCTTGGGACAAGGAACCAGGTGGTGTATGTCCTAAAGCCACTGGTGACACGGCTGGGCTGAATCCCTCAAGGGACACAGTTCATGCCCTGCACTTTAACTGTGGTGACTGGCTGCTATAGATGCACTTTTTGCTCATTAAAATGTTAAAAATCAAACTGCATGTAAAAAGATTTGTGAAAATATAAACTTGGGGATTGATCCAGAAAACTGGCATGTGATACCCTAGAGACACTGGTTTCAGCTACTGGGTAATTTACACTTATCAGCTGTGTGTCCTGGATTGTTTTGGGGTTTTTCTTTTTTTTTTCCTTCTTATTTTTTAGGGGATTTTGCTTTAAAGGCATAAATATAGTTTTTTCTTTAAGAAAATAGGCATAGGGGAATAAAATAAGCAAACAGACTATTGATACTACCTCTGTGTCTCATGTCAGGTAAAAACATAAAAAGGATTATAAGATGCTGATGTGGAGTGATTCTAGGTTTGGTTTTGTTATGGTTTTTGTTTGAAATTGTAAAGAAATGATGATTTTTCTAGTCTGTAAGTAACCACCCACCTAAAGAGGTCAGGTAGGAAGTTGTATATTATGTAGGCATTGCTAATCTTTCAAGCTGAGCAGTATTTAAGTGGGGGGGGGGGGGGAAAGGCATTACATTTATAGTAACAAGCTTGCAACTTGGGCAAAAATTGAATAGTTCTTCCGTGATTGTATTTCTTACATGCAAAAGATCAGCAGTTTTGCTAATTAAAAACTAATTCTGTATATGATTTTTATATATTTTTCTAATAGTTAAAATTTAAAAATATGTCTATGGTTAACCTGTACTAGTCTCAAATTTTCAGTTGTAAATCAAGGTAGATAAGTATTGGTGTATAATGAGTGGCAAATTATGTCCAATAACATTATAAAAGCCACTTAATAATATCACTGTAAAATTTTTATTTAAAAGGCAAGGCAATGTATAGTAGTATAGATTCAGTATATTGCCCCTAAGTGAAAATTTCATTTTCTCTGTTTAGGAGGCTATAAATATTAAGAAATAAGTACAAAGTTAGTTCTGAGTAATAAGCTTATCCTATAATAACACAATGCTGATAAGATGCTGGAGTATTTTATTATGTGAATGTTTCTACTTGCAGTTAGAGTAATGATTTAAATCATCAAAACAATGAAGAGACTACATTCTGCCATTTTGAGGTGACTGGTGACTTGTTATCTTGTAACACTTTTAGTTCAGAATGTAGCAGCTACATGGCTTTGTAAGAAATAGATATGCAGTCATTATCTTGAGGACAATTTGTTTTGATAAGGCCAATAAAAATATAAGCACTTTTCTGCAATTATAATTTTGAGTCTTTTAAAACTTTGGGGCTTTGGGATTTTCCTTTGTTTGATTTTATTTTTTTGGTTTTTAACATTTTATGCGTTAAGATTTCAGTTGTGGGTAAACAACAACTGCATAATAGTTAAAATTTATCAAGGTGTAGTTTTTCTGTGCAAGCAGAGTTATTCAGCAAACAGCCGATCGTTCTGGAAGTCCGTGAGATTCTGCACAAGGGCGAACCCAATCACATTAATGAGGCCTTTACTATCAAGGGATTATTTTGTATCAGAATATGGATTTCTGCAGAGTTTACTCTGAAACCTGCGTAGCTCCTTTCCAAGTTTCCTGCTGAAGTTGAAAGGATACTACTCTACTTTACATGGCATTCTTCAATAGATTCTTTCTTATTCTTTAAAAACAGGAGGTTGTTAAATAATCTATCAATAAACTGTCAAGAAGTCAAAGTTTCCATATCTGTTTCTGCCTGAAATCTTAAGATGTTGGCACATTTTAGTTGTCAAGAAACCTCCAAAGAGTCTATGAGCAGTTGAGCCTGAAACCACTGCTAAGAATGGGATGTGCTTATTTGAATTATGTAGGAGGAACGTGTTCTTGCGAGGGAGTCAATATGTTTTATGCTTCATTGAATAGGTTATTAGATTGATGTAGTTTATTTGCTGAATGATGGCATTTGTTTTAGAAATAAATGAAGTGAGAAGCATCAGTTTAGTTATTGATAATAATTTATTGCTATTGGTCAGAAAAATGCTGAATTTATCAGAGGGTTTGTCATTTAGTTGGGGTTATCTTTCTTCAGCTGAAAGCAGAAATATAGTTTACGTTTCAGGTCCTGAAACATTGAAGTGTGAAGGAGAATGAACAATGAATTGGCTGGTAGTAAAAGTCTGCAAACTGGGTAGGCCTTTATGGTGGGTTGTGGATTATAGAATTCAAATTTTCATATTATAGAGCAATATAATGTAAATAGATTACTTTTGTCTATGAACAGACTGTTTTGGGATTAACATATTTCTGGTTTTGCTGCTTTAATGACTGTATTTGTTTAAAGTAGTGAATTTGGAAATGATTAATTTCTCTGCTAATCATGTTTTCAGTTTTCATATTCATGCTTTTTATCTGATATCACGCAAAGGCTAGACTTAAAAGTTGCTCTGTTTGTGATGCTATTTCACAACTTTTAGAAAATGGTTTGTAGGTTACACAATTTGTATTAATTTTAATACACATTATTTTAATCAGTCTTTTAACACTCAGATTTTCTTTCTAATAGCAGTAGGCAACATTAAACATTCCTGCTATGAGACCTATTGGCTTTAGCTTTTGTTATTTATCTTGCTGATGTTGGGTAGTATCCTCTAATCCCCCAGACCTCTGTTCCTAGGTAACAGTCAAAAGCTGTGCCAGCAAAAGTGGTCCTGCCAGGCCAAACCCATGTGGTTTGGTGTTATTCACTATGATCCATATGGTCAGGGTAGAGATTGTCCCTAGAGAGGTGTTAACACTCAACAACCCAACCTCCTCCTCCTCTTTGGAGAATTGCTGGATGGCTCCTGCTGCCTGCCCATGTGTGAATCTTGATTAATTTTTCATTTTTAATGAAGTTTGATCATGTTTATTATTTCACATGATTGACTGCCTGGTACTCCTTCCATGTAATTGATAAAGCCCATATTTCTTCATCTGTCTCTTATTTCTTCAGGGCAAAGTTGTGAAATTGTGTGATGTGGTTAATATTAGATTTATTGGTCCCAATAGATGTATAAATTATCTCTTTTTCTCTCCACAGGAAGTTCTACAGACTTTGACCAAGTTTTGTTTCCCCTTCTATGTGGACAGGTAGTGTTAGCTTTTCAAACTTTACAAGAAAATAAGCTTGTCAATAAAACCACTGTAGAAAATAAAAACCATACCATTCTTAATGTTCTGTCTGCTTGACTGTGATTTAAAGCACCCAAGTGCAAATTATAGTCTTAGAATCACTTTTTCCTGGGGTTTTTATGGGCACCATCAAAAAAAAAAGTAAGTTTTAAAAGTTTGAGCTGTTCCGTGGCAGCAGTAAGAGTGTATTTTGTTTTACTTCTACATAATGCCTGGATGTGAAAGTGCTTGGGTAGTAATTGTCAAATATACATATCAATATCAAAGTTTTGTGTGTGTATGTATTTTATTTCTTAACTGCCAGAATTTAGGCAGAACAATGAATTAAGTGCTTTACATTTAAAGGCCCCTTGATCTTGCTGGAATGCTGGTGCTTTACTTGGTGGCTACTTCATGTGGCTTCTAATTCTTTTGGGGAAAAATTGTGAAGTATGTTACAGTGGATTTGACAGGAACTGAAACTATTTAATTCTTATAATTAGGAAAACTCCAGAGCTCTTTTAGTTTGTTAGTTTTGCTTTTTCTGGGAGCTTTTTTTTAATGCTTTCATGAACAGAACAAGCATTGATATTTTGAAAGATTGCACCACTGTTCATATTGTCTACAAGTATTTAGTTGGTTGGAATCACTTGCCTTGGGTCAGCTAGCACCCTGGGTGGTTTTGATTGATGAAATTGACCTTAACTGTGAGTAAACTACTAGAAATCTTTTTATCATTTCAGTGAAATCTGTGATATTTACAGTAGAAATGGATTTTCTTTATAAATCAACAACCATTTCTAGTATCACTTCTTGTTTGAGCTGTTGTTCAATTTTTAAATTTTTTTTCCCCATTTCTACCCCCCACCTCCCCTGCCCCATAGGCCAGCTGGTGTTTCTTCGTTATCTTGAAATACTGTTCACTAGTTTCTGTGAATGGAGATGAAATCTCATTATGCTTCTCTGGAGATAGGAGTCTACATAATAAATCCAGTGCTACCCTTTGTCCTCCGATGTAGTAATCTGTGGTTGGAGGAAGCCGAAAGGTTGAACAGATCACGCAGCCGATCTGTTCTTTCAGCCCTCCAGGTGGTTCCTGCGGATCAGGGGTGAGAGACATTGGTGAGACCCTGCTGGAGACAGCTATCATTACCAGTGCCTCTGCTGTACCTGATTTTTACATAAAAGGAGAATTTGAATATCCTGGGCTGTCAACATGAGCTACTTAACTGGTGCTTGTTGACTCAGATGACCTGTAAAAGCCACAAATACTTCTTGAAATTTGGAACCACTTTTCGCTGATCATCTTTTTCCTTTCTTGAGCGAAGGGTGTAGGGAAGTACTTAATATATTTTTGTCTCATGTATGTGTTTCTACTAGAAATATTTATGCTTACTATGTGTAGGTTTATTGTACCTAGGGGTTTTGTCTGTTGTGTTTGTTTTTCGTTCTTCCCCAGTAATATAACATTTTGAAAGGTAAGAACACTGAAAACCCATATGACATATGAGTGAGAACATAATGAAAAGTGGTTCCCAATTCTATATTCACTTGTTTTACTGAATATCACAGACTGTCACTGGAAAGACTATAAGCCAACCGTTTTGAACATAAAGGACAAACTGTAACCCATAGTATACTTAATTTAAAATTAAGAACGGACTTTCAATACTACGCATATATATTAATTACTAGTTGTTGTAGTCTTCTGTGATATAAATTTGACTTAATTTCCACACACAGTTCAAAGTTAACCTGACAGTTACAGCAAGAAGGTAAATGGTCTTCTATCACTGAATGCAAATGCATTCAATGTGACCATGATAGAGAGAAGAATACAGTGCATCTTAAGTGCAAAATGCTCTTCATCTTTTAGCTACTTCCAAACTTAGAACCAGTTCAATACCTGTTCTTAGCAGCTATTTCTGGAACTCAACAAGTGACAAATTTGCACTGGTTGGTCTTTCCCTATTTACTGCTGAGCAACTACTGAGTATTTAGTTACACATTTCTTGTATTGTTTTTAAAATAAAGTTACTTAAAGTAGCGAGCAGGTAGCCCCATGATGAAATTACTTCAGGCAGTGCTTTAATATTCCCCTCAGCCTTCTTAGTAAATACTTTTTCTACTTTGAGATGAAAATAAATTACTTCTATAAGAAATACTGTCTTTAGTTATATGTCAGAAAGGTCCTTGCAGCCCTGTCTTACAGAGTTGACTAGCACTCTCTAGTGGGATTTTATCCCTCTGTATGTGCCTGAAAAGTGGTTTGTTGGATCAGATCTCCGGTTACTTAAACTCTTAGTCCTTAGGGTTGCTTGGTTTTTTTGTTTTGTTTTGTTTTGTTTGTTTGTTTTTTATTGTATTTTAATATATAGTTTTGTTCATTCCGAGCAAAGAGAGAGAAACAGTGAAGTGGTTTCAGTAAAGGCCTTCCAAATACTTAGGTACTATTCGCAGTTAACTAGGCTGCCTTGTTGTTAGCCATGACAATCCCAGTATTAGTCTCACTGCAATGTGGAGAGGTTTTAAAATTATGATTCTTAATGTTGCAGTGGAGATACTGGCTCATTGTTCAAATAACTTAGGAACATGGGATAATACCTTCTGTTGGAATAATACTCTGTGTAGGATGTCTCTTCAGGATCTGTGGAAAAATGATCAGTATGAATTCCGATGAAGAGATAAGGATACAAATGATCAGAAATGCATAGTCACTAAAGAATAGACGCTACTTTTCTGTTTATCAACTCAGAGCCCAAAGTAGCATTATCACTCACAGAACTGAGGTTTTCAAGTCCTTTTAGAGTCATGTCCCCACTTTATACCTTGTTTGTGAGGGCTCTTACTTGGGGAAATTTGATGTACGTAACTACATTCTGTGTTATGTGCAGTATTGTGCCAGGCTTTCAGTGGAAATTTCTTGATGGTAGAAGTGTACTCAGTGGTGCTCGAGCTGAGACTCGCTCTTCTGACACTGATATTAAACAGTGGTATTTCTTTAGCAAGTACTGAGAAAGGACAGAAGTGTTCACCTACATGTGTATCTCTTCCAAGGCTGCATATTTTATAACGCTGGTGGCAAGCGCTGAAGATGTACTATTGCCTCTGCCAGATCAAAACTTCCAATGATGATAGGACACCAAGATTTTGAGGCAAATCAAGATCTTCTGCATATCTGATTGCTCTCTGTGCTGAAGGTTTTGGCACTCATTGATGCAGACTCAATTCTTTTTATATTTATTCTTTTTATATATGTTGTTGCCAGTGGTCAAATTCACCAGAGACCAGCTGTCCCTTTCAGCAGGCAGTGGACCATGAGTTTTCTGCTCTTATGGTTGTAGGATCAAGGCAGAGACTGTTCTCCAAGTGCAGGAGTGAAGAACTCCGCTTCAGCCAAATTTCATACCAGGATTAGTTTGTGTTAGTCAGACATAGGTAGTGATGGGGGATTTTTAGGAAAACACTGTCCTCTTTGCTCCAACCTGAACTTCTGTCTGCCCGTTTAGAGATGAGATTTATGGTGCTTCCTTCATGTTAGGTTCTAGATAGACTTTCTTCCCATTTGAAAACAGAGCTATGAATCTTAAGTATTGATATTAAGATTTTAGGAAAAGCACTTTCTCTGTTGGGAAGCTTATCCTTCCATGTGAAGAACTGACAATGGAAACTTGAGCAGGATTTATCAGACATATTTAGTTTCTGCAGATCACACATATGCAAGAATCTTTAGGTTTACTTTGAAGGAACTTACCAGCTTGTCACAATTGTTTAATAAACAAGCTTTTCCCTGCTGTAAATGAGGCATGTTTTTTTTTTTTTTTTCCCCTGTTTCATAATTTTAATTGTCAGCTAGAATGCTATTTTTCACACATGCTCTGCTCTCAACCTTGTTAAAATTAAGCATATAATCCCCTTTTAAAACACTATACTAAAATCACCATAGTAACATTACATCCGAGCTTTACAGATAAAACACAACACCAGTAATGGATTTTTTGGTATCCCCTAGCAGCCCAGTATGGTTTATGGAAATGGTTGCTCTGTTGCCATTTAAGTTTCAGTGGGATGACAGTACTTACACTGTCTAATTTTCGGACTACTGAAATGCTTTTAAATATCTGTCTTTTTGTTCATCTTTTAGTCTTCATTGCTGCATGCTCTTCCTTCCCTGTTTGGAATCCACTGAAGGATTCTTCTTTCTAAGCTGGACAGTGACATCTTTCTGAGCTGGATCCAACTTCTATTTCTGAAAGTCTATTGTTTTGTTTTTTTTTCCTCTAAGCACAGAGTATATAGTCTACCACATAAATTATTTATTGCATTGTATATGGCAACATAGAAGAGAATATTTACTTGCTTTTAAGGCTTGTGACTGTTAAAAGGCCTTGAACTTAATGGGTTTTGTTGTTGCTGTTGGTAGGACTGACTTGTAACGATGCACATGTAAATGCTAGGCAGTTTCCACTGTTCTCAGTAAACCTAAAATAAACTAGAACATAACCTGATGTAAGTGTTAATTTCCTATCATTATGGGGTCTCAAATAGATGTGAAATTGGATGAAAAGTCTTCTGCTAATTACATTAGTTCCAACTTCACCACTAAATGTCAAAATTTCTGTTAAAAGATAAAACGACATCTCTGCAAACTGGAAGTGAATTGGGCTTGATTTATATGGATTTACTGCCACAGTACATAAGCATTTGATTAACTTTAGACAAATGTGGTAATATCTCAAGAATGTCTTTCATTTGGTTGATAAATAACATTCAGAAAGTGCTGTGCTTTAAATGTAAAGCATCTTATTTTACGATTTCGAGCATCAACTAATAGTGGTAAAATAAGGGTGTGAATGATAGTATTTTTAAAGACATAGATTTTTTTAAATGCTTGGGGGTTTTGTTTGTTTGTCTATTTGTGTGTTTTCATTTTTTTTTTTTTTTTCCTTGGTGGTTTGTTTTTTGTTTTTTGTGTTGTTTTTGTTTTGGGGTTTGTTTTGTTTTGTTTTTTGGTGGTAGTTATTGTCCGTTGAGGTTTTTTGTTTTGTTTTCCAGAACTGTGTTTTACCAATTTGGGCCAATTTTCCCATAGTGATCCCTCCCACTGTGGTGTGAGTGAGAGCCAGCATCTAAGAAAGTTAATAGTTCACTTCCGCTAATTTTGAAGAGCTGTTAAAATATTACAGATGAGAGAAATGACTTTTAATTTTGAAAAATCATATAAAAGTCCCACAAAATTATTTGTATAGTCATGGCTGGCTTTAACACAGTGTACTCTTGATTCTAGGTTATCTTTTCTTCCTTTGCACACTATTCTGGTCTTTTTTTTTTTAACTAATTGCCTAGCTGCTAGAGTAAAGGAGAGTCACCTGGCATGGTTCCAGTTGCTGAACATTTTGGAATGATGTATGTGGAATACATGCAAAACTGGTAGATGGATAAAGCTTTTACAAGTTTATATCGAAGTGTTGAAGAAGCTTAACATGTTATTAAACATTGTCTTGATCTTGGAGTAAACCAGTTTTCAAATGAAGAGTAATAAAGAAATATTTTGGGTTACATGAGAGAGGAAGGGTTTGGTTTGTACAGTGTGTAGTGCACTAAAGATGGTTGGTAGTCATAGCCATTTTCATTTAAAGATAAACACATTTATAGTATCCTCCCACAATTAAATGGAACACCACCCCCTCAACCACTCCTCCCTCACCAAGTAACTAGCACATTTAAGTTTCTAGAGAGTGTATACTCTGAAAGTTAATTTCTGAAAAAGGAGCTGCTGAAAGAGGAAATGTTATAGGTTCAACGACTCTAGATCTAGATACTTTTGACACAGAGTTAGCTCATCATTAATTTTTTCCTCTTATTCTCTTTATTTCCAGCCATGCAGTTAACCAAGTTGGGCAGAACTTTACATTTGTGCTTACAGACATTGACAGCAAACAGAGATTTGGATTTTGTCGCTTATCTTCTGGGGCCAAGAGCTGCTTCTGTATCTTAAGGTAGGTCTGTGGTTTGGCTTTTGGCTGACTCTGTGAAACAGTGTTTGACTTTGCTGTGTTGCACTGCAATTATAATTTCCAGCTGTTCAAAATTATTTTCCTATCTGGTCCTCGAAGTCACTGCTCTTCTGCAAAGTGGGGCAAAATATCTTGCACTTTGAGTTCCTCTGTAGATAACGATATTTGTTTGTAGTCAATGTTCTTGAGTTAACAAAGTGAGGAAAAAAAAGTCGCTTTGCAGTAATTTGATATGACATAGCATGATGGCAGCTGTTATCTTTAGCTGTCATACTGATCTTGTTAAGACATTTTGTGGACATTTGTATATGTAAGTTTTATTAACAAAGCATCTGTTGGTAACTGAGAGAATGCCACTGATTCTCCACATCCTAAAAGTTTGTATATATGAGCTTTATCCAGTCCCATTGAGGGTTTTGTGAAGTTTGTCATAATAAAGGCTGTTAGTGGAAGTTGGGAGCAATGCATTTCACATAAAATGGGCAAAGAAGCTCCATCAGAGTAGTTTTTGATGACTTTCCACAAACACGTCAGAATACACTCCACAATTTTCTATTTACATTTGCTGCAAGAAATGATGCAAGTAAAATCAGTTTTAATATCTACCAATATATTAATTCCATTAAAAACTTCTGTGGACTGAAGATTTCCACATGACATCCAGCCTGTCTTGTTTTAAATAAACTTAAGAACGGTCTGTCTTCTGCCTTCTGCTTTTTGCATGTTCTTGAGAAATGGGAAGTTTTGGAGAAATGGCACAGGTAAAGATAGCTCAGAGTTAACTGTATGAACAGCCAGCTAGGTGACTGAAGAATTGCTCAAGCAATCACGAATGAGGATGATTTCCTCCTATGAGCAATTGGAGACAACTGAGTCCTCTCTGGTTTGCTTTTCATGTGAGAGAATCCAGTGTAAGACCAGGAAGAACTTGTCTTCGTCCTACGAGTATTGTGTGACAGAACATACCTTCTGTATGTATGTTGTTGAATATAACCCCTCTGGAGAATTTCAGGGATAATGTTCCAAAATATAAGAGCACTTATCAAGTACAAGGACACTTCTCATTTCATTGGGTCACATACAGCAATGCCACGAGGTGGATTTTGGATTGATGTATGTACTTAAAATGAATGTCTGTGCCATTTGTGCTGGCACTACACTGGTGAAGATACCCAATGTTTGTTGCCTTGTACTTCGGCATCGTACTGATGGCAGTGATCTGCCAACTAGGCCTTCACTGAAGCAGCTTAATATTTGGAAAAATTAATGTGAAATCTACCAAAATTACTAATCAGTTGTGTGAGAGGCAGGGTGACGGGTATCTTCTCAGTATCTTCCTTCTTTCTTTTCTCTAGTAGACACTTCAACTATTATTAGCTACGGTAATCCAGCAATATGGACTGGGTACTGAAGACGGGAAGGTATTTCCCAAGCTCTTTCCCTGTAGCTGCTACCCTGTATAGTTGGGGTGCTGATTCACTCTCATGTGGGAAGTGTCTGGTTACATAAGGTAACCTTTCCTGATTAATGACAAAATAAAGGGGAAACTCAGTTTAAAAAGAAAATCTGAATGAGGAGTAGTATGAGTCCCTTGATCTCTCCTGGATAAGAGTTCTTTGCTGTCAGATCCCTTATGTTGAGTGAATGCCAAGAAGAAATGGAGGAGTTATGTTGTAGTTAAATGCCTTCTGCTTCAACTCATAACCAAAAAAAAAAAGAGAAGAAAAAAAAGAGTTCCAGTGTAGTTAGAGAGTTACAGCAGGGGATGAATTGGGACTCTCAGCTTCATTCCTATTCATTCTTTCTCCTCTGAACTAATGAGAAAATGAAAGTTCATCATGAATGCAAGTGAAGGTAAGTTTTAGAGGATAATAAAGAATGTAGACCAGCATTACACAGATTCGCTTGCTCTATTCCCGGGACTGCAGCGCACATTGTTGAGGTGAATCTTCTCAGTATCCTCTATGAATTAAAGGTCGCTGCGTGGTAAATGGATGGGTAAAAACATGCTGAAGAATGTGAGAATGATACATTCTTTTCATCCCCGTTTGCTTTTTTATATATTTGTTTATTTGTTTTTAAATTACAGGGTGGATGACAGCGAGCTTCAAGTATTCCTTGCTATGCTCAGTAGTAGTGTAAGAATTAAGTGATATTGTTTATTATTAGAGATGATATTCACGTCTTTATCAGTCAGATTTTTATGGGTCTGGCCATGGTAAAATGGTTTGGAGGTGGAAAATCGTCACATGTTTAGATTTGTTATTGAAGAGGAACAGGAGAAAAAGGAAATTCTTTTCACTCAGCTGGTGCTTTAAAACATTTCTGCGGTGGTCTGGAAGCCAAGTTTAAAGCTGAGACAGTACTCAGAAGGCCAGAAGTCAAGGTCTGGACTTTGAGTTTTAAAGCGACCCAGAGACTTTTTCATGTGGATGTAAAGTACAGTAAGGCACTTCTTGGAGTTCAATAGCAGTAAAGTTATCCACATGGATGTAGCTCCTGTGGCCAGCAGAAAGGCAGTTCCATTTTACAGAGTAACTCTTTTGGCTGTTCTAACCAGTACTGTGTAGAAATCTGCTTTCAAGATAGTTTTCATAGTTTTGTTCCTGCTGTGGTTAGCATCACACAGATTTATGGAAATCTTTGATTAAGTTTGAAAACTGCATCTTCTGTGTGTTCTGTGATTTTCTTTTCATGTAGAACTACTGCGACTGTCTCTCTTACTCTCTTATTCTGTTTCCTTTTTTCTTCACTTGATTTCTAGCTAATCATGAAACTCCAGTGATCAAATATTGGATGTAACACTGAGTTGTAGAGCGCTCTGTAGCACAGATGACTACTTTCTGCATTTCAGACAGCAGAGGGCGGACAAAAGCACAAAACAAGTGTCACAGATGGGCTGGTGGGGTTTCTTGAGGTTCTAAGCAGTGAAGTGAATAAAAAAAACCCCACAGGTTCACATACCACACATCAAAGTCTCCTGGGTAACTTGGAATTATGGACTACCTTCTTCAGTGCAATATGTTACATAACTTAAAATACGCTTCTAAATTATTTTCTTTTCCAAATGATGAATGCACAATCAGTTGAGAGCTAATGTCCAAGTTGTCAAACTCTGAGTTCTAATTTGGTAATTTATAGAAAAACTTCCATGCCCAAAGATTTTTTTTCTTTCTAAGGCTTTCTTTAAGGACTTCAGGATTTTGGATGAAATTAAATAAATCCTATTGGATATGTATTAAGAAGATGAATTTTTTTCTGTTTCGGAGGTTTGCTTTAACCTAACTTTGCATCAGATTTCATGTGGGCTTTTGAGGGTGGACGATATAGACATGAATTTAGTGAAGAGCTGTAGTCTTTTTCTTTTTTTTTTTTTTTTTTTTTTTAAATAAAAGGTGTGGAGAAATTCCCAAATGGTTCTTGCTTAATCTTCTGAGATATTGTCTTCAACTCCTTATTCAGGCATGTCCCTGAGGTTTTTTTTTTTTTTCTGGAATTTATACACATTTGTTTCTCATCTTTACTAAGTCATCTGTATATGTAGAGAGGTAATGTTCTTTCCTTAGGGCACAAGAGTCTGGAAGGTGTCAAAGAGATTCAGAATTTGTTCTTGATTGCTGTTTCCTGCTAATTGCAGTGTACTGAAAGATGGTGTAAAACTACTGATATGATATCAGCGATAAAAAAGAAAATAACAGTATAAATTTATCTTTCTGCTTTTGTATATTCTTAAAGCATATAGATGCTTTTCGATTCTTAAGAACTTTGCATGCTGAAGGCCCTTAATTTTCGTTTCCTCATTGTTTTAATGTTATATTTCCCTTCTAGAAATTTGAAAAGATAAATAAGATAGCCACTCCAGCTGTACTAAATTCTCCAGAGGGCAGTTTGTTGGTTACATTATGCACCCTGTTGTTCAGTGGCTCAGCTGTATTTGCCTCTTTGGCTAGCTCCTGGGATCTAGAACTCGAGAGGAGCAGGCAACGATGGATTTCAGTATTCTTTTGATGGGAGAGTAATGCGTAAGCCAGTTTGTATTAGTATCAGTAAGTGTACTGAAAGGAGTAGAGCGTTTTATCTTACAATCTGTTTTCTCAAAGCTTAAGTGGACAAACACTTTTGAATGTAGTCTCCTCATAGGGGCCAGAGTGAAAAACCTCATAGCTGAAATTACTGTAAGCGTGGTACTTCCACTTGTACCGATTCTAATGGGCTGAAGTTGGGTAAAGGAAATGGAGATAAGGTATATAAAGCTTTGACAAGACTGCTGAACGTACGAAATTCTAAATCTAAGGAGACATTGAAACATGAAATTCCTCTTTCTTTTCTTCCCCCCTCTCTCTTCAGAGAAAGATCTCAAATTCTTGTATGAAGACATTATTTAAAAGTGCATATCAGTTTTCACTGTAGCTGGGTTTATTTTATCCTGACTTTTGTATGTTGTAGAATCTCAGACTCCTGACAACTTTGTATTTCTGCGTAATCATGAAGGAAGAAAAAGTTCTGCTTTAGGAATGTAAAAAATGTTGTTAACTCAGTCTGAATACTTTTTTTGATACCCTTATTCCAGAATGTTTATATAATAAAACTAACAAGTTTAATTTAAAAAAAATATTTTTATAAACAGATAGGATCCAGTCATTTCTTCAAATGTCTGTTTATTTTGTATTCTAACTATTTGAACTTTAAAATAAGTTTTATGTGTTTATGAAACACACTGCTTTTAAATAAAAAATAATGGCAATGTTGAATGTATGGTAACCTATTTAAATGTATAAACGGGTTTAAATGTGTAAGTCAGTGTAATGATTTCAGGTTACATAACATAATAAAATGGTGACCTGAATAGCTCTATTTTTTTTTTTTTTATATCGATACAAAAATCACAGACATGTTCACCAAGTTGACCCTAGTGTTTAAACGTGTACATCTCTCATGGCAATGTATATTTGAGCTTAAAAATAAATTTATCAGTTTAACTG